CAGACTAATTTACCTAGCAGTTAAATCTGAAAGATCTAGAAGCTCTGCTGGCATCAGTATCATTCACCTTTGTAGAAGTAATTATGTCTAACTGGTTGAAATAGGTTAATGAAACTCAAATTTCCACTGAAAGTATTTCAGAATGCACCCTATAGCCAAAGAGTAATGTTATCAATATCTACATAGAAAGGACACTGATATTGTGATTCCAGAGCTCTGTCTTAAGTTACAAGGTAATTTAAAATTTTCCAAGGATTAGTTTACAAAATGGTTTGTAGCTCTAGACACACAACAGCAAAACAGATGCATGTTATTCTAGTCCTCGGTAAGCAAAGGATTTTTTTCTTTCTCCTTGTATTATTGCAAATACTGATGCCTGATACCCTCAGGTACCAACTTAAGAAACACTGAAACCATTATCTTCAAATCTAGCTTACTGTCAGAAGGATGATGTATACATGAGAAATTATGATTAAAGCTTTAAGTTCAAAGGTAAGAAATAGACTATTTTTAAAAATACATGGTTAAGGAAAAAGAAAATATCTATTTCAATTAAGATATACTTAAGCAAGGTTACAAATGACTAATAACTATGCACAACAATCTTTTTCAGTATCTATTAATTTTTTTTCCTTTGCAAAAAGTCATTTACAGAAATTCAACAAGTTAATCCTGTTATAAATGCTAGGCTATATATTTGTCCCAACCTGCTTCCTTTTAGTACTAGCACTTCGATAAGTTTTTACTTTATTTTCTAAGTGTTTAAATATGTGTCATTTTAAAAGGAAGAAAGGTGGTATTTACTATTCCCAAGATAAATGGTAATCGGCGAGCCTATATTACATTCCATATATAGTTTCTGATTGCTATAATACCGCAGCAATTTGCAGATGGAATGGAACTTATTTTAGAAGGGGTTAAAAACCTAAAAGGTCTTGCTGAAAGGGAAATACTAGATCACTGATTCAACTATTTCAAATGAAAGTTTCCTATTAGAGAGTCTAAGTAATATGAACATTTAAAAATATATGCCAGTAGCCTCCCACCCAAAATATGTAGGAGTCTCATTTCTGGAATCTATCATGTATAAAGATTTATACAGAATTAAAGATTTATTTGGTGGCTTTCAGATTCAAAATTTGAAAATTTCATGGGAATATTTTTAACCATAATGAGCAAAAAGGCAATCTCCATTCACTTCCACTCTGTCTCTATTATGTAAGAGCAAAAATTCAAAAAAAAAAAAAAAAGCGACAACTTTTCATCTCCTGTCTGCATTATGGAGATTAGTATTTTTGCCCACAGGGACCACATAGCAAAGGTATATATACAGTAGTCCAGCCACCAAAGTCTTTTCCAAACTATGACAATAAAAGCAAGATATAATTCTAATTAGCTAAAATTAATTCTTCAGATGAGACTTGTCTGCATGGCCATTTTCATGGGGGCAGGGAGGCAGGAGGTTGCTATCCATTTGGACTAGCACAATATACAACCAAGCAGAGACTTACTCTGAAATTTTCCAGAACAACTTTAAAAGTTCTTGTTCATTTTTTATGCCATATATAAAACACAACACACATTTATAGTCTCAATATTAAGAAAATTAAGAATTCAGCAGTAAAGTGCTAACATAGAAGGGGGAAGTTATAAGATGTACTAGGGTATGCTAATAACTCCAGTTATCTTCAAAGAACATTCAGACTGCTTCAAACTCTATTCAGGAAACTATCTCTCCAAGCTTTTTTTTTTTGCCTCTTTTAAATAATCTGAAAGCTAACTATATAAACAAATACTTGGGGCAGGGGGGAATTCTCAATCTCTGTACTCAAACTCAGAATAATTTGCTTCTAAAAATTATCAACAAGTAATCCAGCTATACTATCTTCAGATGATGTGGCAGAACAAATTATCTTGTTTTCACCTTGTTTCATAGGTCTGAAAGTCCTGCCCCTTAATCCAAACCAAAACTTTGATACTTCAAAAGAGTTCAGTAAGATTCTGGTATTATGAATTCAAACTCAGTA